TGTTTCTGCTTCCACTCAAAATAGGCATTTTCAAAATGATATAATAAATTATCTGTGGGGTATTTTGAGCTGAAACTTCACAGACACATTCTGGGGACACCAGAGACTTATATTACATATTGTAAAAAGGGGCATAATATGTCTCCTTTAAGAGAAAAGCAAGGCAATTTAATCAATTTTAATAATTGATTAAAATTGTTAAAAATTATCATAAAATTATCATGCATAAGACCATATAAGAAATAAAAAATAATAAATGGTAAAAAAATATAAAAATGGAGTAAAATGTATTTAAAATGTATTAAAAACAAATAAGAAAAAACAGCATGAGTACATAAGATAAAAAGGAAACTTTTTAAATAACAATAATAATAACCTTAATCTAGTAATGTAAAAATTCAAAAGCAACATCACACCAGCAAGAACTGTACAGCAAGCTGTTTCGAATCTCAGAAAGTGGGATATTGCTTTTATACAGCAGTTCAATAATCAAATAAATAAACAACTCACATTCAACAGTCCCAGTTATTTTGTCTATTTTTGCTCCAAATAGTGATGTTCATGAGCGATTCATTCATTTTGTGTCATGTAATGAAAGAACAGACGATTTGAACTAGAAGACACATTTAGAACTTACAATTTCTGTTTCTCATCATTTGTCTTTGTCTTTGGCTGCATAACTGTTTTCCAATTCACAATATGATCAACGATTGCACATGTGGATGTGTTCAGGGAATTTGGCTATTGAAAATATATATATAATTTTAATTGAACTAATTTAAGCTCAAATTAACTAAATGAGCGAAATTGAAATTGACTTTGAATAATATTAGTTCATTTTGCTGAATGAGATTTAAAGATCAAGTAAGTAAAAGATCCAATCCTCTCATGACTACAACGAAAGTAATTTCAAACAAAGTACAGCAGAAACCGTTGCGTCTCCGAGCAGCACCCGGTAGCGGTGTTTCCTGATCAAATCATTTGAGTGAATTATTCAATGACTCACACATAGAGGCAGCCATTTGCTTCATTCCTAAATGAATCGTTATTTTAAACGAATCGGTTGAGTGAATGATTCATGGTTCACTTATAGACAATCACTTTTCATCTGCTACAGTTTTTAAAAGTTTTTTACTTAAATTTGTTTTATTATATTGTTGCCTGTTTTATGTTTGTATATGCAATATGTTTTGACTGCACACTTGTTCATATATGACACACGTGTTATAGGTCTGTCATCTGGCCTGGTGCCTCTGTACATTGGAGAGATTTCTCCAGTGAAGTACAGAGGTGCTATGGGAGCACTTCACCAGCTGGCTATTGTAATTGGCATCCTTATAAGTCAAGTGAGTGCCACTTTTATAATACATCTAATCCACAATAAGGGTTAAACTGTTCATAGTGAGAACTGAATATTAACTGAATAGTTGATATTATTAAATAAAATAGCATGACCATACATGATCTTCCATGGAAAATCTGTATTACAATCAGCTGAAACAACTGTGATAAAAAAGTGATGTAAGATACTCATGAGGTCTAGGGTCTAGGGTTTCTAGTAACTCTTTTTCGGTTCTTATTAGACATCTGTAAGATGTGTGCAGGTGTCCTTGTTATCTACAGGTCATTGGTCTGGATTTCGTGCTGGGAAATGATGACATGTGGCACGTGTTGCTGGGTCTTTCTGGAGCTCCTGCTATCCTACAGAGTCTGCTGCTGCTTGTGTGTCCAGAGAGTCCTCGATATCTCTACATCAAACTAGGCAAAGTGGAAGAAGCATGCAAGAGTATGTGCCAAAGCCTTTCTTAGTCATTACTCTTGGACAATGTATGTTTAAACATATACTCATAATCTCATAATAGGCTTTTTATGAGAATGAAGTCTTAAAGTGTAGAGAAATAAAAAGTCACAACATTATGACACTAAAGTACTATCATTTTAAGAATAAAGTCAAAACTACAAGAATAAATTTTTTTGAGATTCAAGTTAGTATTATGAGAATAAGGAAAGTAGCATCAAAGTGAAGTGGAGCTGACCACTGGCTGCAATTACAGATGCACAAAACAGGCAATTTCCTGAATGTCCGTCTGGTTCCTTCTCCTTAATAAATTAAATTTCCGACATTTCACTGCCGGATTCTAATGATAACTCTGTGCTGATTTGCCAAAAGAATTTCTTTTTTTAGTAAATACTGACACATGCTAGTCAATCTAAATCCTCCACATCCATTTTCTGCATTGATGAAGCTGATAAAAACATTTTTACCCTCAAAACCCCTTTTTTTAACCTTTTTTTTAAAGGCCATATTATGTTTTTAATCTCTTAAATTGAAAGAAACTCTAGTAACACTACGACTTTATTCTCACAACATTGACTATTTCAAAAACAATGTGACTTTATTCTCTTTACCTTATGACTTTCTTTTTTTAACATTACAACCATATTTTTGTAACTTACCATTTTATTTTTGTAACATTACAAATAAATGTTTTTAACATTATGACCTTATTTTTGTAACATCACATTTTATTCTCACAACACTGACATTATTTTGTTAAAATTATAAATGTATTTTTGTAGCATTCAAACGTTATTCTTGTAACATTACAGCTTTATTTCTGTAACATTACTACATTAAAAAAAACATCAGGACCTTAATCTTATATTAGGACTAGTTTAAAAAAAATTAAATTACTGAATTATTTATTTATTTTTTAACGTGCTACTAAAACTGTCTTAGTGTAATGTTTTACAATTTAATTCATTGTCTTCTCTCTAAAAGCTTCTTCACACCAAGAACGAATTATTGTTATAGTTGTGGTTGGGAATTAGCTATTCTCATAGATTAGAGCGATTTTTAAACTTTAAAAAAAAAAAATTTCATAAATAAAATTAAAACATTCTGAAGATCAGACAAAATAATGATTCTCAGTTCTTCCCTCTGGTAGGTCTGAAAAGGCTGAAGGGAGATTACGACACCTCAAAGGACATAGCAGAGATGCAGGCAGAGAAAGAGGAGGCCATGAATGAGGTGCAAATGTCCATCCTGCGGCTGCTCCGTTCCTCGGTGTACCGCCAGCAGCTCTTTGTGGCCCTGATGATGCATTTATCCCAGCAGTTCTCTGGGATCAACGCTGTACGCTCAATCTATCTTTATACTCCCATTTCATTGAAAAAAACATTTCAATTGACATTTTATGGACCCCATTACTATTAGACAACTGTAATATTTGATCTTCTCTTTGTTGTTTTTTCTAGATCTTTTATTACTCTACTTCGATCTTCCAGACTGCGGGGGTTGGTCAGCCTGTGTATGCCACTATTGGAGTGGGAGTTATAAACATCATTTTCACCCTTGTGTCGGTAAACAGACACTAATTTAAAGGCAAACACTGGCTGCTGAGGAACAGGCTCTTGTCTCTTAGAAACAGCAGAGTGCTGTTGCCTCTCGGGTCTTACTTTCTCTTAATGCTTTTTGATAATAACTCAAGACTGATATTGCAGATTTTCCAACTTAGTTGAGAGCATGTTTCTTTAGACAACAGATTGCAGCTAAGGCAGAGCAGCTTTCATTAGCACTATGATCAAAATGTGTCACTTATTTAGGTTAGATTTATACAAACTTGTGCTGACATTATCAATCATGCCCATATTTAACATATATGACCCAGTGAGACATCTCACCTTGAATCTTGTGAACGGATTAAGTTATAATAACTGCTGGATCTGGAGAGGTGGCTAAAGCCTGTCTTCTCTCGGCTCATAGAGCTGGAGAGCAGCCATATGTTATCGGGGACTTTGCAGTGTTTATCTCTGCTAGTTCAAGGGCAGCCTGCAAGTGAAAACAGTTTTGAGTAAAGAGTCGAGAGCTACTCTAAATCAAACAATCCATTCAGAACAGGTTTTGATGAGTCTGGTGCATGAAAGCGCAATGGAGTAGACAAAGTCATTTTCTGATTTTCACTCAAGAAAGTTTTAGCTCTAACGAGATGAATAATTAAAATTACAAAAAAGTAATTTTGAAAAATATGGTTTAAATGTGAACTCAC